GGTTAGAGTTTGGACCAGATGGTGGCTTCGATTGCAGTACGGAAGACTTCCCGGGAGAAGGGGCAGGACACTGAACAGGAAGACACATTCTGACTTCATATCAGTGTGCGGAGACCCTGTTCTCCTTTTATCTTAATTTGCAGTTGCAGAGTCTTCAAGGAAATGCGATACCAGCTTCCCAATCTGTGATATGCGAGTCTGGACACCATCAAGAGCTGTGTTACCCCAACGTGTCCTTGCTATGGTTGGGGTGATCAAAGTCGAGCCACCACCTGGGATCACTTTCCTCAGAGCTCACAGCTGTGGGGCAGAGTGCTTGTTAGAACATTAAAGCAATGAGAAAGGCAACTATAGATATGTGCTCATTCTCTTCCCCTTTTGAAACAGATTGTGGGTCCATCAGGACCCACAGTGCATGACGGGAAAGGCAAGAGGAGCTGGGCTTGCAGCCACCCTCCCAGTTATGTGCCAGTCCCCGTGACAAAGTCACAGATTCCTCAGGCCCTAGCCTTCCAATCTACCAAATGAGACATTCATGCATGTCTTCCTAAAGAAGGGAAGGAGGAGGCAGATGAACGGTCTCTGTTCCTCTGCTCTGCATGTTGCTGGTCAAAACTCGTCCACCTCACCGTGAGACTTTCCAAGTTCAACAGAGCACAGAACCTACTCAGCACTCCTCAGATTAAAGTATTTTCTCAGACTTAAAACAAATATCCAAATAAAGGCTGGGTCATCACAGACTCCTAAATTCAAAGAACAGCTCCCAATCTGCACTCACCAATTTCCAGATGTGTTCTAAATCTAATTTTCCAAATCAAAGGTTAAGCAACAAAATGGAATGCAGCATTATTTGGTGGACATCACTAAGCTGCAAAGAGAGAAGATGAACAAGGTCAACAACGGGTATTCTACTTCCCGGTAGTGAAAAAATTTTAAAAGGTCCGATTCCACTTGAGGCAAAAATGTTGAGGTTTTCAGTCACTGAGACCTTGGAAGCTTCAGGTCTTGCCCTGTCTCAACGACTTCCTTTCTTCCTTTTCCTGTCACTGATGCTGTTTGTCCACAGGCATTCACTCACCTGACAGCCAACTATTGTATGCATTCTTAGAATTAAGTATTATGAAATACCATTTTAGGGTCTCGGTTATGATCAAGCAACTTCTATCGTGATCAGAAGCCCCATTTGAAGTTCTTAAAATACGTCCTTCAAACAGATTGAAACATTGAACTGTTTGAATTGAACATTGAAACTGTTCAAATGATACTAAGAGGCTGGCACAATGTATTAATTGTCCTCAAGCCATAAACATTTTTATTTGTCTGCTATGAAAATAAATCCTCATGGGAACCACCCTCTCTCCCACTCCCATGCCTTTCTAGGACAGAAATCATAGAAGACGGGAAAAAAATCTCCCTATGTCTGTCCCTTGTTTTTCCAGCTGAGGGATGGCTGCAGGCAGAGCAGAGCCATGCCTGGAAGGGCCTTAGCAGGTGGGTCACATGAAACAAGCCTGTCCTACAGGATTTCCAGGCTCCTCTTTCCCCAACCCCACTAAAACTCATGTCAACTAGTAGGGGTATGGCTTGCAAACAAAAGACACTATACGTTACCATACAGATGTGAAAATATTGTATCATCAGCACTTCTCTTTTGGGGGAAGGGGAAGAAGCAATATAAAAAAAAAAAAGATGTAAGGGTTTAGAATTTTTTTTTGTGGCAACATGTTGAAACTCAAATAATTTCTTTCTAAAAGAAAAAGGTATGTGTAGCCAGGAAGTATTTATAAATATCAAGGAGTGTTCCCACTACAAAGCATTTTATTAGGCATCGATTAGGGAAAACAAACTCATCCAAAATACTATCATTTATTAATTTAAATGGTTGTGCAAATATGCTAGCACACTTTCAAAGCAGGCAGATGCTCAAACGTCTTGCTAGAATTCTGTGAACAAAGCTGATTCACCTCAGAGCAAGGAGTTATTACAAATAATTACCAACAACTTTCTTGCTTACACTGAGAGTAATTTTTCCCTGCTGCCCAGTTAATGTAGCAAATCGAACTCATATCACATATAAGATGGGAATAAAAATTCCCAAATCTGCGAAATTTAAAACAGTGAAGAGCAGTGTTTAATCAATGGTTCTGCTGCAGACTGTAGCACGACAAACTCCAGTGAGCACACACTTTCCAAAAATATTTAGGGAAGAAGCAAGGACACAGGAAAGGCTACATAATAATCAATTATCCAAAAGAGGAAGTGAAGTATTCCACATCTGCAAAATGTTTTTTATGGAATTAAATCTTCGATACCTGCAAAGTTGGGTTTTTTTAAATGGAGTAAATCATATTCAGAATAGTAAAAGGGTAGTGCATGCATATAAATTCAGGCACTTGGTGACTTTTTCTCATAAAGAATTTAATTTTATTAAAAATGTGAAAACCTACCATTGCTGCTTAAATTAAAATTTTGGAAAGACTGAGTTTTTCTAACACTCACTGCCAGTGACTAAATTTCCCCATGTGTCTAATGCTTAAATGGACCAAGACTGTTATCAGTGCAGTTTTCAGACTTCAGTTCAAACAGCAGCTCCTCAGAGAAATCTGCTGACCCCTCTCCCCAAAGCCCATAGTCCCCCCATTCCCAGCTGGCAGAATGCAGGATGCATTAGGCTTCCCTTTCATAACCTCTCTCAAACTGTGATTAAGTAATTGTGTAAGTGCACACGTCTATCTACAAATATACAATGCCAGTATGTAAGCTTTCTGTCCTTTGAATCACGTAAGCCCTGGATGAATAAATTATGGCCACTGCTTCATCCACCTTCATCAGGAGTGATGATTTAGTAAACCCAGAAATTTTAGGTCTTTCTAAACAATCTTCATAAAAAACTCAGTTTTTACCCCGTAAAAACTCCTGTGTCACTCTCTAAGGTGCCCACCCCCTTTTTTTGCCAAACACTTAGAAATCATGAGAACATTTCTAAAAATTCCCAGTTTTGTCTCTCTGCATACTCACTGGTTGAAGTTAAAGCATTTCATATACATTATGGATACCCTTCACTGCCCAGGGAAATAACTTCCAACTCAAATGATTTTCAATAGGATCTATAAAGTGTAATACAACATATTATAAAAGAAAACAAAAAATTATTTACAACCACCTTGTAAGGTTTGAACGGTAAAAATGTAGTTGGCACATGAGCCATACATGCCGCTTAGTGTTTTGTTTGGGGAGCCCCTCCAAGCCTGTCCACGCTCATGACCTGTGAGAGGGCCTCTGTGCAGGAAGGCTGGATGCTCCATCCATCGTAGCAGGAGCTGGGGGTCCCCTGAGCAAAGGGAGTCAACAGACACCAGTTCCTTCTCTTCTCTCCATGACTCCTGCCACGACCAAGCATCTGTTGTACCTTTTACTCCACCTACTCTAAATACCTCCAGCTCCAGACTTTTTCTTCCTCATGTTTTCTGTTTCCTCAGTCCTAACTTGCTCCTTCTTTCTCTGTGTCGTTTAGCTTTCCATACTATGGCTAACCAACCAACATGCTGCATGCTGTGAACGCAGACTCTTCACCAAGGGTTGGATGATTCTGGAACCCTCACTGCTGTTGGGCAAAGTCTGTGCAGTCCTGTCCAGGGCACCCAGGCATATGGAAATGGGTCACCACCACCCAGTCAGCGCTGACCAGGGTCATGAGTTCACAGGAGACAGGACATGATTATCCCATAAACAAACATTCATTTGGACCACACAGCCTTGAAAAGTAACACAACCCTCTAGAAAAAGGCATTAGTATGGCTATGCTGGGTCAAGAATCACTTAAAGAATCATCTTTAATGGGGTAAGGGGAATAGAAAAGTTCCTTACTTTTTCAAGTGGAATAACAGAAGTTTGGATTTGGGTCTTTCCTCTGTTTCGGTCTACTATTCTCTTTCATGTTTGCATCTTAAAGAGAAGAAGAAAAAGGTGGCAAAGATCAAAGTGTCATGGTAAATATGAAATCAGTAACTGGGTCCTTTGTTCTAATATTGACTTTTTACCCTTTTAGCTGATTTGCTCATTCTATTTTCATCAGAACTCTTTTGCTCCCAAATACAAATATAATAGACAAAGATCTGAGAATTTTGCTTAGAACTGCAGAAAGTAGCCAAAGTTCACACTTGGACTATATCCAGTTTTCTGCCATCACAAAACTCTTATTCAATCTCTCGGTGCAGCAGAAGCAGATTACACAAAGAAGGGAGCAAAACTTTCATCTACTTTTTATGAACTCCCAGTATTTTTGTAAAAAGTTATTTTGCAAGGATCCTGGTGATCTTGAATGTCTCAAGTACATAATGAAACAAACCTCACACATTTTTAAGTTAGGATAATAAAATTATAAGCATAGTATACTCTAAATCTAAATTATTATAGCTTAGAAAAAAGTCTTCCTAGTTATTCATTTCTCTGTGGCTTGGGTTCTGAAGAGTAAATTTATAATCAGGGACAGAAAAAAAAAATCTTGGAAGGAGAAAAAGAAAGCAAATTCTTCAAATAAATTGCTTGTGATTTGAAATATCATCAATGTGATGACTAATAACACACAAATATACACTTCACTCTTTTGTAACACAAAAAAAACAGAAAATTTAAGGCTGGGAAGAAGAGGTCTATGAGCATGTGAACTAAATGTGTCATCCACAAAGTTTATCAGTTTACAATTAAGTGGGATTATGAGCCATCAAAGTGGAACTTGTATGATATACCATGAAAATTCTAGGATCCAAGTTTCAATAGATTTATATGAGGGTAAATTTAAGACCTAACTCACTTTTTCAATTAAAAGAAAATTGGGGGAGGGAAGCAATTATGTTCAATGATAAATGAGTCATTCTTAGCTGAGAAATCAGAGTATCCTCTGTTTCATGTTCAATTTCTGCATTTTCTATTCTTTGCTCCAAGCTGTTTCTTTGATCTTACAAATATAAGAAAATTAAAATTGTACTGTTGAGGACATGTGAGGAATCTAATCTTGGAAGCAGTAAACTACAATGATGTATTATAGTACTTTGATATAAAATCAGAAAGATACTGAGCTTCAAAATACCTAATATTGTTATCATTTAAAACTAAATTTACTTGCAGGAGATACAGTTGAAACAACTCACAGGTATAAGTGCTCTGGGGTCAGGGCTCACCTTCGGGGCGACTTGACGTGAGTTGCCACAATAAACCTAAAACCCGGGGTATTATCAATGGCCCATGCACCCAGAAACCACGGTGACAACCAAGAAGTAGAACCATTTTGTTATATCCTGCATTTATTTAAGCAAACTGAATGTGTAGAGATAAGAAATTAAAGCGTTATCATGTTTTACAAATACAGAAAGAAGACACAGAATAATAATACCCTGAAGAGAGTGCATCTGAGAATGCGGTTCTATCACAGGCAAACACTTGCAGTGACCACATTGAGCCAAGGCCGGCGCATCCATCTGTCATTCCGGTTCTGACATCGTTCAAGTAGTTTTAATAAATAAATCAGTGATTTGCTTTTCAAGGAATACTAATACTAATGATTACGGAAGCCTTGAAGGGTTTGTGAGTGACAACACTACACATACACAATGCTAGGCTCTACTGTCACTTCAATGCCACTGCACATTGTGTAGGGGAAGTAATGTCTCTTTACACACTTACTGTGACATCCACTAAATTGTGAACTAGTTTGCATAGGTTAGTCCTTTGGGCAGCAGGATGTTGCTCTAGTCCACCAAGGCTTAAAAATTCACAGTGTAGAGGAAAAAAAACATGAATTAAAGCATTTCTACTAAAATAGATTTTAATAGCTGGTGTTAACAATTTGCATAACAAAAGCCAAATTATAGTAGTAACATTGTATCATTCTGTAAGCCCCTTTATCTCAAAAACATGGCGTCTCCTTCAAAACCATAGGCTTTCAAAGTTAGCACAATCTTGCAAGTTAATCATGAACCAGAATTCTACATATTTTGAACCAAATAGAAGCCAAAGTGAACAATGATTCAATTTTGCGTTTTTATCACAGGTCAAAGACCAACAGTTCCACATCAAGGCCGTCACCCACTTGGCGCTGCTTCTAGATCCTTAGTCATTCATTGTATGGACACTGAAAAATGAGACTCTGATGCAGTTTTCTCTTTTCCTTTAAAGTAAGTCATTCTTAACAGCAACTGGACTACAAGGAAGTAAATACTATGCAAACTGGATACCATTTAACAAACACAAAAAGCTTATGGAGTTCCCATGAATACACTGAAGTAATATAGACAATCAGGGAGGAAATTTTCCCCGGGGGTCCTTCCAGGTGTGTGGATTCCAGTAGTCTAAGGGTCACAGGATGCATGGCTGTGGAAGCATCATACAATGTTTTGAGTTTTCTGATCAAGAGTTGACAGTTACTTTCCTGGAATGTACCCTAGTGGGCATGGAATACTTCAGAAGGAGACTTTCATTTTAACATTCTTGATTTAGTTTACATAGCTTCTAACTTAACTAAAACTTTCTTACCCCTATATCAAGTTACCCAAAACAATCACACTCAAGTCACTTCTAGATTATCAGAGGCAAATAGCTACGGTATAATGATTTATGAAGTGAATTTCATCTTACGTAATGAATTCAGCCTCATAACATAATACTTCTATCTTACAACAGGTTATTTCAAATCCCAAACCTAAAGTTAATGTTTATGCATCTCAACTATATATAAATCCACAAAAAACCTTTCAGAAATATATGGGAGAAATCAGTATTTTCTGAAGTCCTAAACCTTTAGAGGTAAAATATAATCAGCTCTCATATTTCATATCTATCAGGAGCATCTCACTTCCCCACCACAAAAATACCAATTGCGTATAATAAAATATTACTATAGAATAGGCAGAAGCTTGTTTGCTTGGTTTTCTTTCCAAGGCTATCATGGATAAACAAGGGTAATCAAAAAGGCACCTATTTTTGTAAATATCTCTACTATCATTTTGGTATAAACTATATCCACTTTATATGGGGATGTGTTAGAAAGGAATCATACACATTTTCTTTATCTTTCATTCAGAACATTCCGTTGGAGAGGGACAAACCCGAAAAAGATGTATCTCTTGAACAACCACTATCTGTTTTAGAAAAGTCTGTTTCCCAACTCCAGGATGATTGTCCAGTCTGACACAAAGAGGAGAAGGAAAGACAGACTGGGAAAAAGGGCAAAACTCATCATCATCAAGCAATGACCTGCCTAGTGGCAGGAGAGGGGCTGGGCTGAGCTGATCCACGTTCATACAAAGTGCTCCTGGGAATTGTGCTTGCAAATTCCTACACGGTCTTTGAAGGTGGGGGAAGCCTGAGAAGATTCAGAGACTGCATGGGCATCCCATCAATATTTCAAACTGGGTTTCACTACTGATGTGTAAACAATAACAGGAAGACAAAGAATTCTTTTTGCCTCAGGTTAGAAATAGAAAGCCTTCTAGAGAACAGGAATTAGTAGAAACATTTACTACAAAAACTTACAACAAAAGCATTATATTCTGTTGCTATACTTTTCTCAAGAGAGATACGATCCACACACAGATTTGGTTTTGGAACCCTTTAAAAGTGTATCAAACTGTTCTTTGTGCTCATATCAAGCTCCAGAACACCTCAAATTTAGAAAATAGGAGCATGCTTCCTGTGCTTGGGCATTTACACAGCCTTCTTTAATTTGATTGTAAAAAGATTTGTTTTTTTTTAACTCTTCTTTAGCTGTCAACCTTGTGGATGAGATACCTGTTGCCAAATTCAAGGTAGGGAGAGCGCATGTCAGAAGGGGAAAGGTGTCCGAGAATGTAGTTTTTCAAAATGATGCTATAAAAATAGCATTTTGATACTGTGTGTGTGGGTGCATATCCATGTGTGTTTACTTTCTGTTTTTCTGCTGAGATGCTTAATATCCTGATACTCCAGGAACAACGACAACACCACCAAGTCAGCCTCAGGAGCACATGACAGCTTGTTCTCCCTCAGTCTTTATCGTAAAATAACTGTTCTCTAGTTAAATTCTGCTCAGATCTTGATTCCTAAAGGCTGGAAGCAGAAACATCTTGCTGTGCCATCATTGTGTGAAGCTTAAAATTTTAGGAGAATTATTCCCTATATTATTACTGACTTTTACGTTCAATGACTCTGATTTTTAAATGGGTGGATAAGAAAAACAATGAAACATCAAGCTTCTATTTTATAGTAACTTTCCTGATTATAATCATTTCAAGTCAATATCCCTTGAGCTTCCTATAAATGTGCTATTTATCAAAAATTGTACCTGTCCTACATTTAGTCTGCAAATTTAATCAACAACTACTCTTTTTTTTTATATAATACCAAAAAATGTTCTGTCTGGGTGAAATATAAGTATTTACTTCATGATATAATAAAATTGAGCAATACTTATTGCCCTCAGTTTTAATTGCACAGAAATTTTTGCAGGAACACTTCAAGTTCAGCTAGTCTTCTGTGGTTTGTATATAAGACATCAAAATAGATATGGGGTTTAGACAATTTAGTCATGACTGGTCATTCAAACAGAATATCAAACAGAATATTTGGTCATCTGTAAAATCCATTCAAAAAATTCTCTACTTATTTGTCTGAATTCTTCTCTTTTGACTTTATGTTCGTCTCATATAGATGCAGAATGAATGAAGTATGTAGTAAAATCTGTTTAAATTTTTTAGCCAGATAAAATTTTAGCCAGATGAAACTACATATTTTTAAAAGTATGTGCTAACTTTTCAAAGATCTAAATGAATTAACATTTGCTTTTGGACTAATAAGTATTTCAATAAAAGTTATCTTATAGAATATTATAATTTTCTTGAATATACAAGACATCCATTTTATTACATTTCTGTAAACATTTTTTTTTTTCCAATTTCATCACTACTGCAGAGTCAGACCTTACAAGAATGCTACCCTGTTGCAAGTCCCAAGAAATGGCACAATCAGAAAAATATGGAATTGCTGATGGAAGTTAGTTAATCTCTCAGGAGAGCTTGACTAAGGACTCCAGGTGAAAATGATTCATGACTGGCCAGCAAGGGCTACAGCTATGGCTGAGAATCCGGCTAATGCCTGCAAGGTCACTCATTTAAAAGTCAAATGTGATCATTTCGTTTTTTTCATTAACAATCTGAGGGACCTATACTGAGAATCTCTGTTGACATTCCTAGCTCGTTGCCTCAACATGATTTAGAAAAAAAATTTAAAAAGTGTAAAGAAAGTCTTTTCATTAACCAGTTTCAGTGGGTAAATTTCCACTCCAGAATCTGAGTTCCAAGTTCCAAAGTAAGAAACCTGATCACCTCTCTCTTTACAGAGTTGGCAATGTTTTGTTTGCTGGTCTTCTTCAGCACATTTCATATTCTGTTCTTTCTTTCCCCACTGGGTCCTCTCAAGTTTTCTTTTTTTCTTAACATTACTGGCATTAAGTTAATGAAAGCTGTTCAATAAACACCTAAATCACTTATGTACTAGAGTATACAACTATTTGCTAAGGTGTAAATCTTCCAAAACTAGAGTGCAATGCAGCAGGAGAATCTCAAGCAACTTTTCAAAATATGTTTCTCTGATGAGCTGGCACAGAGGAAAAGATTTTTAGATATCGGCCACACTTTCTGCTTTAATAACAGGAATGGGCAGTGCAGCTGCCTATGTTACAGAAGCTTGAACCTACATGACATGCAACAGGGTAAAAGCCTGGTAGGGAAATAATATAGATGACCTTAAATTTTGCCCTTTGCAGAGTAGCTGTGTAGTTATTTTGTCCTGCCATTCTGTGGACCCTCATAGACTTGGGACCACAGAATGTAAATGGAGTGTAGGATTGCCTTGGTACAAGTGAGAAATAAATAGATCCAAGTAAGCCAAAGGAGCAAAGAAATTTCTTTGTTTAGTAGAAGATTCTAGGTGTCTAAGGCCACCAGTCAATAGAATTTTAACCAAAGTGTCATTCTGCCACTGTTTACATTTATTATATTGGGCAATTTTCACTTGAATTGGAAATTGCCTAAAGACTCAAAAGCTAAATGGTTTTTAAATTATTGGCTGTGTTACTGAATTAAGAGAATTGGCTTCTGGTGATTCCAAAGTGACAGCTAAGAAGTTTCATATACTCATTACATTTAAGGGACAATCAACATCTCTATTAAAGTCTACAAAAATACATTTCCCAGAGGGGTTCAATAGCCAATCAGAGGAAACCATTAACACAATTAGCAGCACCAGGTCTCCAGACCTAATTATTTTGTTTCTAGGAATTACTGAACATGCTGCTGTTTTCAGCCCAGAAGTCATTCCTTCATCCTGGTACCTGTGTGTCTAACTGTCCAAATAAGGATAGATTATTGTAAAATAACTGCCAAGTCATCTTAAAAGTATCTTCTATCTCTTAAAAAGATTGGGTTTAGTATACATTAGAATAAAGCTCAACGGGCAAGGAGGAGGACTTAATTAACAAACTCAATGTAATTCGCGGGCAGCATGCCCGTCTTCCCTGTTCTTTGCACCGTTCCATACATCCAGCCGTCGTCGATGGGCTGCACGTTGACAATGTAGTCACCGTCCCTGAAGGACACTTCGTCTTCATCCTGGGCACTGTAATCATACATGGCTCGGTAGGTCCTCTGGAAGAGGAAAACAGAGCTTACTCGAATATGCCAAACACCAAATAGTCCCAACCACATATGCCCATCACCACAAAGCAATCAATACTGAAAGTAACTATTAGGAATGTTTCCAAGCATATTTATTTCTCTGGACCAGAGCCTGGTGTCCTAATTGTGTTCATTTCATGTGACTGGACTAGCAAAAAAAGAAAATGTATTATTTGGGCACCAGAACAGACATAAAAAGACATTAACAGGTAGCCCATGAGAAAGCAAGCTTTGAAGTAGTAAAGCCAACTCTTGTCAGCTCCAGATAACTCCAGAGATCCAAGTTACACAGACTGTCCCTGAGTCTACAGACAGGTGCCACTGCCTAGACCCCTGGCAGAAGCAATGAAATTTTCTTAAATAGTGACTAAGAACTGAACTTCTGTTATCTCTCAGAAACATATAAAACAAATAAAAGAAAAACCTATAACATACTCACTTCATAGGTGTTTATCATAGTGATAGAAATTAGCTATAAGTGTCCTGAAAATTAACATACATATAACTAAACCCTTGTTCTAATGAAAAAGTTTTACATTGAGTTGTACTGTATTTTTTCACATTTAAGGTGAAGAGTTTGGTTAATATTAAGATCAGATCACCTCAAAATCAAGTGTATTCATAGACTGAGAAAACTGGCTAAGACACAAAGAGCTGCAGAGCAATTATAACTGACTTCAACGCTGCTCCAGGGCCACCTGTTTCTAAGAGCTCAAGCAAAGGCCTCGTGGCTGCATAAGAAGCTTGGAGAAGCAATTTTGTCATGAGATGCCACACATTCCTTAACAATCTCCAACACTGCTTCCAAGCTTTACCTCAGATGAATGAATCAGTACGTCAAGATTTCCAGTAGGAAGAAATATGTCAGCCAAGTTATATCAGTATTAGTGGTCATTTTGATTAATGGCAAGATTAACTAGTTAACACAACCAAATGTTGTGCTTTTTAGACCTCAATGAAGATCATAATTGGCTAATCATGAAGTAACAATTGGATTATCATAGTGGTAGAATATCTTCATATTTTTTTTTACATGTTTTCATATCATACCTACCTTTCTCAATGGCCTACTCTCTAATTCTTGCTTCTTTCAGCAGAGGTATACAAATAACAATGCATCATCATTTATTCTTTAAATGAAAGTGTGCAACATAGTTGTCCCTGGGTATCCATAGGAGATTGGTTCCAGGAACTCCCTCAGATACCAAAAGCCAAGAATATTCAAGTCCCTTATTTAAAATGGTGTAGCATTTGCATATAACCTAAACACATCTCCCCATACCCTTAAATCATCTCTAGATACCCACAATACCAAATACAACATAAATACTGTAAATAAATGCATGCTGTATTATTTAAGGAATAATAACAAGGAGAAAAGGCTGTGATGTTCAATATAGACCTAACTATGCAGTACTATTTCACTCAATATTGTGTGCATTTATATTTTGGAGCTCACATGGATGTCCAGAAAAGAAGAGCTACTTCAAGTAGACACTTACTAGGTTTGGTGAATGCTGCATTGACCTCATGGATGACAGGCTGGTCTGGTGCATATAACCATAGCCTTGGGAGTGACTTTGCTGGTAAGCTCCAGGAAGAACAGGCGCTGCACATTAAATACACACAAAGACTTCACAGTGAGTTTCAAAATACCCTCCCCAAGTCCTCATGTGACTTCATGCTCTGCCAGAATCTTCTGGAATAAAATGCTGTTTCCAGTGTCATGTGAATTTGGTTTGTGATATTATAAGCAATCTCTCTAGATTAGTATAAATTTCAGTAATTAGGGACATATTCAGGGAATCAGTTAAACATGCAATTAAAATACATTAGAAATATTTGTTTCTTTAATATTGCAGATGCTATGTTAAAAATACACACATAAAAACAAAATCCCTTAATAAAATCATTTATATGTGGACATGTAATCCTCTGAAACATTTTCAAAAATCAGAGTAAGAAATTTAGAGACACTTCATGGGATTATCAAACCAATGACAGAGTATAAATGTTTCTACCAGATTTGTCAAGTAACAGGAGGCTCTAATATTTCAAGACTTAAAGCTGAATGTTACCTTTTCACACTCTAAAACACAGCGTATGTCGAGCAGCTCATAAGTCTACACCCTTACAAGAAACCCTTATTCAGCATGTGTTAAATCTCCATTTTATTTTGACTATGGCTTAAGAAAACATATTTCAGCTGAATATGTTACAAAAGCCTGAGAAACAAAATGTCTTAAAGAATCTCTTAAACATTACCTTCCTATGTTAAAGACAAATAGTATCTCAACAGTATTCACCCAGTTTGTGTTGTTCTCATCAGGAGGCAGGGTCTGTGGGAAATAGGTCATGAGGACAGAGCCCTCAGAATGGGACTGGTGTCCTTCCATCTTAGGAGACATAAGGGAAAAATAGCAATCTGGAAAACTGACCCTGCTGGTACTCTGATCTGAGACTTCCAGAACTGTGAGAAATAAATTTCTGTCCTTTAGAAATCACCCAGATTATGGCATTCTGAGACAGCAGTTGAAACAAGCTGAAATACCACATTGACGGTTGCCAGCATTTATGGAGACAAGTGTTTAAACCCTTAACTCAAAAAGCAACTGGGTATTATGGGCAGAAATTTGAGTCAAGAGAAAGCTCACTGAAGGAATTCAGAAGTTAACATGTTTCACTCCTGTAAGGCAAGCATCCCGAGGTGCCAAGGGGGAGCAGACTAATGGAAGTCCACCCCACATCCCTGGGTGGCAAAGCAGAACAGGACCTAGTCACCCACCTGAGGAACAACATTCAGTGCAAGCAAAATTATCTTTGAAAACCAAAGACTTATCTCCAAGCCAATGCTAGGTTCCTAAAGATTTTTCCCTGTAGACTCCCATATCATCTTTCATTTTTCATTCTTAGATAAATTTAATTACCACAAGGTACTGCAAATCTTTTCAAGAAAACGTGAGGGCCTCCCCTGGTGGCGCAGGCGATTGAGCGCAGCGCTGTGAAGTTGTCCACAGCCTCTGCAGTAGGACTTCCATCCCAGCTGGCCAGCGAGATTCCCAAATGGCGCAGCAGACCTCTCCTGTCTCGCCTGCTGCTCCCCTCAGCAGTGTACTTCAGTCAGTCTGCCTGTTCTGTTTCCCACTCTGTCTCTGGTGAGTCCTCTGACCCTCCTACACCTCTGGTTGTACCCTGGTTCTCGTATGCATGAATAAATAAATCTTTAAAAAAGAAAAAGAAAATGGGATACAAAAATAAGGTATTTAAGCACCTCAGCATGGGTTCCTGTGAAAATCAATGCGGGGAAGATGTAGCAAATGGTTCTGCTTCCCAAAGAATACAAAATAACGCGTATAATTTTGAATAATATAAGTGAAAGGCTGACAACTACGGGACCAACTTAGTTTGCTCAGAACTCACTCAGTACAGAAAGACTCAAGAACCCCTTCATTTCAGGTGAGCTGGCACAGTCAGTTCTCCTACTTGTTTGTTTTTTTTGTTGTTGTTGTTTTTTCAGTTCTCCTACTTGTGAGCTAAGCTAGCATGTCATATGCATTAACTGACAAATTCCCATTTTATAAATAGAAACTCTGAAGGTCAGTATGATTCATTCACTTGGTGAAAAATTCCAGAGCTAGAGAGGAGCCAGGATTTAAAAACCAATAATCAAGGCCGAAATTCTTAACTATCCCTTGTAAAAAATGAGCATGAAGTAATCACAAAAGAGTGTTAAGATTAATCTCCCAATAACCATGCGAATTCAGAAATGTGAAAGAACACATGATCTGCAGAGCAGGGAAGCTTCTAGAAGCAATGAGGACTTGACCTGGCCTTGGAGAGAGCAGCAGTTCACCTGTCATTCCTGCTGTGGGGCAGACAGGATGAGAGGGAGGGGAAAGCAAAGGAAAAGAGGGTTTAGGGGCATGTGTAAGTCAGGTATGTTAGATTCACAGAGGTTACTCTATTTGCCATTTACTTTTTTGCGGTAGACTTTGAGGTATAAACCCCACAAGAAGTTTATGTGACTATGGTTGATGAGAAGCTAGAACATGTCTGGAAGAAATTACAATGAGAATAATTCATTCACTTTTGGAAAAGTAAATACAAATTACAGACCATAGTATCCCTTCTGAAGCAAAGGCTTTCAGATTTCTTTGAAAGGTCATTTTGACATATGAGTGTATGTATGTGTGTGTTGTTTAATTTCTTCCCCCCATTGCCAATAGTATCCTACTGTATGAAGGACAAATGTTATTCAATAACTTTATCCCATATGAATAATTTCAAGACTGTGTTCAAATCACATCTTCTAATATTATTTCAACCACTTTTCCATTCAGCAGTAAAAAGCTGTCCATAATGAGGCCATCTAATGCTTTTCAAAATCATTCTGTGAACATCCCCTGAAAAATGTCCTGCCCCCAGGACAACATCAGCATAAGGACAAACTCAGCCTGAAGATTATGTAACCATTTTCTTCCTTAAATTCAAATAACAGGCTTACAATGTTGCATTAGTCAAATATAAGCTGAATATTTAAATATCCCTGATTACCTGCTAACTGCAAAAGAAAGATAATTTAGATGTACTGTTTAGATCTATGTACACACATTACATTCGACCATTCATTTACACACTTTGTTTAGTTGTCTCAAGTAAAAATTTCTAAAATATTGTTTTGAGGCTCTATAATTCCTAAATATTGGGGAAAAGGCAGAAAATTATGTATAGTTTAAATTACCTGACAGCTAAACTTAGTCTTGAAGACCCCAAAATGCAGCACATTTGAAATCAGCGCTTTCAAAGCTGTTGTTTTCCTAAGAAAAAATAGGTCTGTGAATGTTCTCTGACAGAACAGAGCTAAGACATAATATGGTGTGAATGGAATTGCAGGGCTTTCAATTTAAGACTATCTGCCATTTTGCTTCAAATTATTCTAGTCAATTTACTCCTTCGTTAGATATGAATTTCAACTTGAGTATCTTTTTCTCAGAGTTGTTTCTAATTTTTAGCTATTTAAGCCAGAATAAACGCCCCAATTTGTAACTGTAACTCAAACCACAAGACTGTCACTGAGGAAAAAAGAGAATTTCTGCCCCAAATTACAGCTCTTAATAATATTCTCAAGGCATAAAATCTACAGTGTGGTAAGGCACAGAGATACACACCGTCACCCAAAACAAAACAAAAAAGAAAATAAAGAAATATACACCATGGAGATTATCTATCTACCTATCTGCAGTTTCATGACAAGTAACTACATAATTTGAGGCAGTTCTTTGATAATATGAAAGCAATCGGGGACTTAGGAATAGCAGGTAGACAGGGGTGCTGTTTCCATTTAGGTAAACCATGTCACCGAGACTAGCTTTTGGACACAAATTATGCCATGACTGAAAAGTCAGTTCACAGCAAATTCTGATTTCCTCAGTGGCTACAACTGTCAATATGGTGTAAATCAAACTTACATAGGAAGATTCATTTTGCAAGAACAATGAAAGAAATTCTCATTAAACCTTTGCAGCAGAGGGCACAGGTGGTTGAGCGCAGCGCTGTGAAGCTCTGTCCACAGCGTCTGCACCACAGGTTCAATTCCCGGCCGGCCAGGCAGATTCCTACATGGCGTGGCAGACCTCTCCTGCCCCGCCCACTGCTCCCCTCAGCAGTGTATTTCTTCATCAGTCTGCCTGTTCTGTTCCCCACTCTGTCTCTGGTGAATCCTCTCACCCTTCCACACATCCGGCCTGTACCCCAGCTCTTGTATAAATAAATCTTTAAAAATAATAATAATAAACCTTTACAGCAGAAATTCTTCAAATACTCACTGGATAGATATATGTATTTTAAGGACTTAAAACTGGCTACACATTTCTGTTTTTCCTTGCACTAATCAATTCAAATATTGACTCTTAGGAAACATCATTAATCCAGAAGGAGTTCCCAAATATAGTTTTACATTAGACACTCCTATTGACAAGCCACATTAATTATATCTGTAGACATATCTGAGTATTGATTACATTTTGGAATGAGCTGGTATATTTCTTTCAACTGATGGCCACAGATGAAAACTGTCTCAATGTGTACCTGACATGATTTGAAGACAGAGAAATGTGAGGGATGAGTATAAAGGATAGTGTGGACTCCCAAAGCCAAAGCTCTAAGTTTAAGAGTATCTGTGGCTACAACATTGTGAAGCTGCAGCCTCTGCAGCACTTCGATCCCCCTGCTGGCCAGGGAGCCATCCACATGGCCCAGCAGACCTTTCCTGTCTCACCGCTGCTCCCCTCAGCAGTGTATTTCAGTAGATCTGCCTGTTCTGCTCCCCACTCTGTCTCTGGTGAATCCTCTCACTCCCTGCACCTCTGGCCTGTACCCCAGTTCTTGTATGCATAAATAAATAAATCTTTTAAAAAAAGAGTATATGTGGCTAGAGAAGTATGAAGAATTACAGTCAGGTAGGGAGGTGAACAATAGGTCACTGTGAAGAAAGGCACACACTTATAGGTACAATTAGACAGGATCTACAGAAGAGCTTGACAGAAAGAGCAATAAACACAAGGTCAGATATACAGTACAAGATAAAGATCTAGAACCAGAAGGTTTGAA